GTGGGCCAGGCTTGCAGCCGGTCTGCCCGTGGTTGCTGCGCAGGGGGGTGCTCGGGAGGTCACCGGCTGCGGGGAGTGACCGTGAGCGGAGCCCAGAGGCTTGGGGCCGGACGGTCCGCACCCCTGACGTCTGACAGGGTCCTGGCAGGCCCACCCCTGTGCCAGCACGCCCCGGGGTGGGAGCGAGCTGCCCCCCTCCCTGCACCTAGCACCAGTCTGGGCCCTGCCCGGGACAGCAGTGCACTTGTGGCTGAGGCTGGAGGCCGCCGTCTGCAGGCTGGGTTCACTCGGGGACAGGCCTGTGACCTCTGTGAAGGACAGCTGAGGTTGTGGCGGTCAGCGTGACCGCCCTCCTGGTCAGCACACTTCCAACCCCATCACTCCAGTTCCTCGGCTTGTCCTGAGTCCTTTGGGTGTCACGGAGATTGTTGTTTTTTGAAGAAACAGAAGATTCTATTTTTTACAGAGAGCAAGCTGTTTTTCTTATTTTTGTATCATTTTTCAGATGTAATTTTTACCTTGGCTCCAATCCTAATTTGCTGGTTTGGGTGAGTCTGGTGGCATCGCTCACGTCCCCCTTCATGGGGGGCCCTGGGGGCCACATGCCAGGGCCCGGGCCGCGCTCCTGGGGAGCCGCGCCGACCAGCCCGATGAAGCACACACCCCACCCGGTCGGTGAGATCGGAGGGCACCTGCGGCACCCACCACCCCGGTCCGGCTGGCGCTGGTGTTCGCAAGATCCTGCGGGCCGGCCTTCCGTCAAACTGAAGGCAGAACCCACTCTTAAGTCTTGGCTTTGGCTCCCACCATGGGTGCAGGCGAACCGGCTCCCGGGGGCCCCGCGGAGGCCTCAAGCACCCCTGGGGAACCTCCCTTGGTGCCTGAGGCGAGGTGGGGTGGGCCCTGAGCGGCCCCCGGGGACAGGCTTCAGGGTGACGCCCGTGGGTGCCACTTACACCCCTCCCTGGGGCCGCCAAGGGGTCGGCGTGGTGGGGCTCGCCCTCCTCAGCAGAGCGGGTGGTTTGGTTCGAGTCCCTTCTGAGGAGAAAGGGAGATGAAAACTGACCACGTGCGGGGCGCGGCCGCGGGGGCCCTGGGGGGTCGTGCGCCAGTGGCCGGGCCCTTGGGGAGAGCGCAGCCGCACGGGCTCCCGGCGGCCCAGCAGAGAGAGCCCGGAGTTTCTATCAAATGGTGTAAATCTGGGCAGATATTTAATTTCTGTGACTAATCACTGAACTAGAATGAATGTCACATTTTTTATGTCCGAAGCTTGAGTCTATTTTGGATCTGTAAATAATCGTTACTGCTGTCACTTTTGTTCAACAAAAGGATTGTACTGTATGAAGAACCGATGAAAAACCCCCATAACATTTTTTTAAGAAAACTTTGTTTGTTTAAAGAAGTCTTGTATAAATTATAATTTTTATTTAAATAAATCTGAAATGCTTTGTGCTCAGGGAGGGTGGGGGCGCTCGGCCTCCAGGGCAAGGCCCCTGTGTGTCGCAGGCAGCTGAGTGGGGCAGGCGGGCACCCCTCCCGGTGGCCCAGGACCCCCGTGGCCGCCAGGGCTTGGAGGGTAGCGGGGTTTTGGGCTCCAACGCTGTCTGGGTGAGGGGTGAGGTGGGTGCCGGGGGGGGGTGTGCTGTGAGGTGGGGCCATGAAGCGGGGTAGGGGGGGCATGGACATCGAGGGGAGGCAGGGGCCCCGGTTCCTGAAGACTGGAGTGCCAGGTTGGGGCATCCAGGGCCTGGTGCTGGGTGGCCAGGCCGTGGGACCATCACTCTGCTGGGATATGGAGGAGCCTGGAAAAGGGTCCTCGGGGTTGGGGTGCAGGTCCTGGCCCCACCTGGGCATGACTTCCCTGGGAGTGGTGGGCGTCTCTGGGACCAGGTGCTACCTGCAGCCCTCCCCCTGGGGTCTGGGCAGAGGGGTCCCCGGTGGCACCCGTGGCTCAGCTGGTCTAGACACAGTGGGGACAGAGGGATGCAGGAACCTGCTGACGTCTGAAACCACTAGTCCTGCGTGGAGCTGAGCTGGGCACAGCTAAGGGCACCCAGCCTCCTGCACCCCGAGCCCACGGGAGCCCCACCCAGGTCCCACGAAGTGAGCTGAGCTGAACAGAAACCAGGTCTGGTGGGCCAGCCCTGTGCTCAGAGGTGTGGCCTTTGTATACTGCATCCATGCACCTGTTCATCCATCCCTCCATTTGTCTTTTCATCTGTCCATCCACCCGGCCATCCACCCATCCATTGCAGGCACTGTCGTAGGGGCTGGGACGTTGCTGTGACGGGCCAGTGGTCCCTGGGGGACCGGGCACCCAGTGAACACTCTCGGGACTGCTGCACCCCCCACCCCGACTCTCCTGATGACGAGCCCCTCTGCAGCACAGCCCCAGAAGACAGGCGTGCGAGCTCCTGGCCCTGCAGGGACGCCTGCTCTGGGGATGGACACGGGTGAGGAGGGGTCGGAGCTCAGGGTGTGGGCAGCACGGGCCCCTCCCTGCCCACCCTTGCGGATGGGGCTCCCGGTTTGCCTGTATTTAATGTGTCAGTAAAGTAGCACAAATAAGTCTAATTGCTATTGTAAGAACTACTTGGGGACTGTATTTTGGTAGAATCGGTATTGTTGGCAGTCTATATATTTTAGTTTGTGCGTTTACAGCAGTGCAACAGCTGAAGCTCTTGGCTTCCCCCTGGGGCGTCCGTGTAACCAAAGGAAGCGCCTTGGTGGCCTATGGTACTTGGGCCTTCATTCTTGGGGAGACCGAGCCCCTGCCCGGCTGCTGAAATCTGCTCCCCCTCCACACGCCGGAGCTGGGAAGCCCGCCCCTCTCCTGCAGGGTCCCGGCACCTCCTCCGTCACGGGCTGGCATCGTGCTGGGGGTGCAGGGCTCCCAGCATGTGGGCGGCAGAGGTGGGGGGCGGGCACCCTGGGCCCTGCTCCTTTAGAGACACTGTTGTCCCTTCTGCACTGGGAGTCAGCGCTTGCTGGCACAGATGGGGGGAGATGAAATGGGTAAGGTCCTAAAGGGAGCTACTCAACTATTCCTACTTGTAGATGATGGTACAGTAGAAAACCCCCAGATCTGGAGGTAAGGTGGTTTTTTTTTTAAGATTTTATTTATTTGACGGAGAGAGCACAAGTGGGGATGGGGGAGGGGCGGGGGGGGAGAAGCAGACCCCCCCCCAATGAGCAGGGAGCCCGACACGGGGTTTGATCCCAGGACCCCGGGACCACGACCTGAGCCGAAGGCAGACCCTTCACCAACTGAGCCACCCAGGCGCCCCATATAGGTAAGTTTTCATAGTAAGAGGCGTGTTTTCTGGATACCAGATGATACACTAAAAAAAATTTAAAAATCACATTTCTTTGTAAAAACAAAAAAATTTTAGAATAGTCGCAAAATACAGTTTTTAGGAATATATCTAAACAATTCAGAGATTGTGGGAAAATTATAAAACCACCTGGGTGGCTCAGTCGTTAAGTGTCTGCCTTCGGCTCAGGTCATGGTCCCGGGGTCCTGGGATCGAGCCCCGCGTCGGGCTCCCTGCTCCGCGGGAAGCCTGCTTCTCCCTCTCCCGCTCCCCCTGCTTGTGTTCCCTCTCTCGCTGTCTCCCTCTCTCGCTGTCAAATAAATAAATAAAATATTTAAAAAAAAAAAACTATTCGAAAGACCTGAGTGAGGACTTACAAGTGGGAATGTATGCAGTGTTCCTAGACTGGAAAGTTCAGCTTCATGATGGAAACGTCTTCTCAGACGTGCAGAATTAAGAAGCAAGTTCCAGAAAATGACACAGTGTGACTCCTTTCGGGTGAAGAGCAAAACCGGAATAAGACTGAACGTTGCAGGGGATGTCAGTGTGTAGGGAAAGAAAGCACCTTTCTTGTGCCTGCTTGGGCTTGGGGGCTGTGGCCCGCCGAGTAAGCAGGCAGGTGAACAGGAGAAAAGGCAAACAATTATTTGATGCTAATAGCTTATTTTTTGTACATGGAGACATTTATAGGAAAAGATCGGAAAACGCAAAGAAGCAGTTAGACCCTGGGGCTTATGCACCATTTTAACAAAAGGGCAAATTGTCAAGATGTGACAAGACAAAGGAAAAGGGGTTTGGACTTCTAAGGTAACAGGACATTACTGGGTAATTTCATGTGGGGAAGTGATGGAAGGTTAAGGGTTGTGCAGACCCATCTCGGCGCCGACCGTCCCAGTGGTGGAGGCGGTTCAGCTCCTGGCGCTAGAGAGGAAGACACACCTTCTCAAGGGGAAGTTCACGTCCTGCTTTTCAGCAGACGGGGTGGGGGGCAGAGGGCGCCTCCTGCATTTGCTGCTTCTTGACAGTCTGCCGCTTAAAACGATCCTTATGCCAAAGTGGCCTATTTCAGGGTGAGCTGTTCTGACCCCCTCATATGGATAAACAAGGGAATGATACACTGGAAACGGGGGTCCCCCCCCAAGGGGAACACAGGGACTTTGGGGTGAAGTTCCATCTCTTTGGGTGGTAGCTACACATCGTTCGTTTTATTCTTGTTCTTTCAATTGTTAAAAAGGTGGGGGCGCCTGGGTGGCTCGGTCGATGGGGCGTCCGCCTCTTGATTTCGGCTCAGCTCATGATCTCAGGGTTGTGGGATTGAGCCTGTGGTCGGCTGGGCTCCGTGCTCAGCAGGGAGTCTGCCTGGGATGCTCCCTCTCCCCCTCCCCCTGCTCACATGCACCTGCTTGCTCTCAAAAAAGTAATAAAAAAAATGGGCATATGGGGCGCCTGGGTGGCTCAGTCGGGTGAGCGGCTGCCTTCGGCTCAGGTCATGATCCTGGGGTCCTGGGATCGAGTCCTGCGTCGACTCCCTGCTCAGTGGGGAGGCTGCTTCTCTCTCTCCCTCTGCCGCTCCCCCTGCTTGTGTTCCTTCTATCTCTCTTTGTGTCAAATAAATAAAATCTTTAAAAAAAATGTGCATGTGTTTTCACAAAACATGCTCTACTTCGAACAAGAATTTATAAAAGAGAAAAAGAAACTCTGCCCAAAGTAACTTTATTTTTGTCTTCCCAAACAAATCAGAGCAAATATGCCATTTTCCAATCTTGAAACCAGCAAGATTACAAGAAAATGAAGCCACCCTTTCAGTCCGTACTTGCCGGTTACACAGGATTGTACCAGAACAGTCGCAGCGCCCGCCAGCGAGCCGCAAGGCACCGCGCGCCAGGTGCTCACTTGGTGAGGAATTAAGCAGGAATAGAGTCAGAGCGTAATGGCTGCCATGGTGTTTTTGCACCAATAAGTCACAATAAGGATGTTAAAACACAGACTAACCTTCTAAATGAGCCTAAGTTTTCACTAACCCACCATCAGTTCCGTTCCCCCCCCCCCCCAAGCCCCTGGAGCCCAGGTGTTGTGGGGCCTTCCTGCAGATCCGCGCCTCTCGCCCAGGTGGGAATGTCCGAACGGTCCTCGTGTCCTGTGTGCGGATCGAGCTCTCGGGGGTTCCGACGATCACACGTGCCCTGAGAAGAGCCCCAAGGCCTGCGGTTCTGGACGTCGGGCAGCCGTGCGGGAAGCCCAGGCCGGGGCCGGCTCTCTCGGGGAACAGAGAATGCTTACCGTGGCCTGAACTGTTTTTCTAAAATTGGCAGTGGGTTTTAGGACAGACCAGTACTGTTTTGGGGAACCTTGCGAAGGAGCACATTCCACAGCGCGGCTCTGGCCGGCCGGGCCCTGATGTGCGGCCGCTGCTCCCGCACGGAGCCGCCCGTCCTTCTTTGGTTTCTTCCAACCAGCAGCGAGCACCGAGACTCACAAACGGCCAGTGTAGCTTTACTTTCCGTACCCAGACTCTGCACCACCCACGACTTAGCAGACCCTGCCGTGTGTACAACTACTTGATAATATGGTCTATTGAAAAAAACCACTGTTAAAGCTGCCCTTTTGTCTGACCTGGATGGGACTGAATGATAAAATAGGAGATTTCATGTATACTTCAAAATACAAACGCTGCAAGTGAATTCTAAAAATGTATGATGCCTGTTGATGCCAACAGGACCAGCTGCTCCTCGCACAACGGCGTGTAAATGACCTGTAACAGTCAGGCTTCCTGTCTCTGCAAACCAGAGTTCAGGCTGCAGCTTGTGTTTAAAATAGAGCTATTTTCGATGCATCTTCCGTATACCTAAGTGTGAGTACAAAGAAAATGAGGCCAGAGCGCAGACGAGGGCCGCCCCAGGGATCGGGGGTCACAGCTACAGGGAACCCCCTGGCCACTGCGGCTCCAGCACATCAGCAGACATCTACGGCACTAACCACGGAGACACTATGTACAGTCTTCGGGTTGAAAAGGACATCATTTTCAATAAATATATAGAATCAAGTGTGAAGAAAAGCACAAGTCTGGACCACGTATGTAAACTTGGGGCCTGCACCCAAGGGGCCCCAGGAACTCGGGACCCCCACCCCCAACGGGGCTCGGGCACTCGGGTTTGAAGTGAACACAGAATTCACGAAGTGAATTTGTACCTCCTGCACACCCGCTTCCTTCCGCTTCCCCACGAAGCCCACCTGTTACCCACTGGGTCGCTACGAAGCATCAGTACTCTACATTTAAAATAGGTGCCAGGTCCAGAGCTCATGATTGTTCTTGCTACCAGCTGGATTGTCCCAGAAGCACTAGCACGATGAAAGCAAGGGCTGGGGGGATTTGAAAGAAACAGCGTCCCTCCTGTCAGTAGTGTCCTTCTCCCTAAAATGGTCCCGCTCCGAGGTCACCGAAGCCGCCCAGGATGCGCCGGATCCAGTAAGCGCGTTCCAAGCACAAGTTAAGGTGAAGATAACTTGAAGGCAATCCAATATTTTCCAAAACCTGATCACAAACCTTCGCGTAAGTCCTGCAAAGTGGATCAGTGAGCTGCTAGATACCTCCTGTCCAGACGCTGTGACCTCACATCCACTGTCCCTAAAATGACTGCGGTAGAGCCACAGATGGGCCCTTCAAAACTGCGCCGTTGGCATAAAATCTAAGAAGGCAGCGACCCCAAACCGACAAGTGCCGTTTGCTGAGACTAAGTTATGTGAAACGCAACCCACAGGTTCACAAAGAGCTGAAAATGCCAGGTATGTTCACGAAATTGTTGACAAAGATATTCTGTCTAAAATCAAGATCTAACTATCAAAAATAAATTTCTAAATTTAAATGTATATATCAATGTAATTGTCCTGCAGAAATTTTCTTAAATAATGTTCACGCTTCCCAAGCACAGCAAGGCAGGTGATGCGCGAGGGCGGCTCAGCTGTCCGGTTCTTCCTTAGGACCCTCCTCGATGCCCCGTGCAAAGAGGCGAACGAGCTGGCAGTGGACCCTGCAGAGACAAAGGGCCATGTGTGACCCCCAGTGCCCCCTAACCCTTGGCTCCACAGCTGGTCAAGGCTGGGGGAGGGTGGGGGTCTCCTCATGGCCGGCTCTGGGCCTGACCCCGCAGGGACAGGTCAGGGGCGCAGAGTGACTTACCCACGCTCTTGAGAAGCCTGTTTTGTAAAGGGAGCTGAGGGCCCTGCAGACGCGGTTCCATATCCAGCACCCGCCCTTCAGCAGCGTGACAAGCCTCTAGATGACCATATTCTAAGCTTTCAGGGCAGCGGGGAGGGCTCCATGGGGGTGACCCCCTTCATACGGGATGTGCAGGATGTCTGGTCACCCAGGACGAGTGGGCTCCACCCCAGCCCTGGCCCGGGGGCCCGAGGCATGGCCAAGGTGCCCTGGAGACCCTGCCTCCCACAAGCACGAGGACGAGAGCCGAGGGGCTCAGCGGTCCGCATGGCCACCAGCCCACCGGCAGGGCCACCGTCCCCCTTAATTAATGCCATTGCAGCCTCCTCCACGACGTTCAGTAAGAAAAACCCCCTAACTAAGCCACTCGCTGGTTAAGGCATGGTAGTATTATCAAGATACCTAAGAGTATACTTGACAAAAGAATGCTGTTCCTAATCTTCAAAATAACCTACTTTTTAAGTAAATCCTTAAGCCACGACTAAAAATGATTCCATGTCTTTAACTTGTAAAATTGCAGAAGCTGACTCCCTGCATACACAACTGTCCTGGCAGGTTTTCCTGCGGCCTCGTGGCCACCTCTTGTCTTCTGATGCCTGCGGGTCTGGAGAGGACCCGCTGCCCCGCGAGCCGACCCCCAGCTCCGGCCACAGGTGGGGCTCCCTGAGGCCCCGAGGGGCTGTGGGTGGACTCGGTGACGTGGGACCCAGGAAGGGTCTGCCAAGGTGGCCGGCCTGTCTAACGAATATGTCGTGTTGTGACCCGCGTGGTGATAGCCCAGTATCCCTCCCGAGCGAGACTCCTGGGCCGGGGGACGCAGGGCTCACGGAGCCGCGGGAGGCACCTCGGGCGCGCACCTGACCTCGATGGAGGAGCTGCTCAGGACCTCCCCGTCGCAGTTCCAGGAGCTGTTGGACGCGGTGCCGCAGCAGGGGGGCGTGTCGCTGCACATGGGCCCGAACCGCGTCTTCCCCCGCTCCCTGAGGCCGCCTTCCTCGTCCTCCGGCTGCTTCGACAGAAACTGGAATTTCCTGACCCGATAAACTTCCACGAAAGCGAAGTCAAACTACCGAGAGACACAGCAGGGGGCCGTGTTCTTAGAGGCGCTGAGCCGGGGAGGCCCCACGGCGGCGTCCGCAGCCACGAGCGCTTTCTGAAGAGTCCCGGCAGGGGCGCCCGGGCGGCTCCGTCGGTTGAGCGTCCGACTCTTGGCTTCATCTCAGGTCACGACCTCAGGGTCGTGGGACTGAGCCTTACGTCGGGCTCTGCCCCTCCCCCCGCGCTCTCTAAAACATAAATAAATCTTAAAAAAAAAAAAAAAGAATTCTGGTGGTTCCCTAGCAGTAACTTGTAGAATTCTTTACCTTTTTCACAAGCACTATTTTAAAAGCCACATAAAAACACCATTAGACTAGACCTTAAATACAATTTAAGTAAAAAAAAAAAAACCCCAAAACCAAAAACAACCCACAAATCTGGGTAAAATCAGAGACGGACCCACAGCTCCGGGCCTCTCGATGCCGTGAGACGTGGCGTCTTCCGCTGTGTGGACAAGGGTGCCCGCGACTACGGACACGTTTGCTGGAGGAGACTATGTATTGCTAGCGAGCCCTCACCAGGAGGCCCTGAGACTAGGCGCTTCCGGTAGGTGAGGCCCGGCCGGGGAAGCCGCTCCCAGCGCACCGCGAGCGGGGACAGGGCCACGGACCCCACTGGCCACCATGGGGCGCGGCACGAGCCCGCCACTCACCTGGTCGTACTGGTTGGTGTGCCTGACGAGAAACCTCAGAAAGTTGAAACGGGAGCATTTCCGGATAAGGATGAGGTCGGAAGACCCGTCCCCCAAGTGGGCGGCCGGGGAGAGGCCCCGGGGGCTCCGGGGACAAGCACAGGACATGTTGGTGGCGTTGATGGCCAGGAACTTCCCGCAGACCACCTTCCACTCTTCCACCTCCTCTGAAGCAGAAAGGGGTGTTGCGGACGGGACGTTAGACGCGCCGGGCGTCCCGAGACCATCCCCACAAGTTCCCCGCGCAACTGACCCCCCAGCAGCAGCACAAAGAATCCTGTGCCGACCGCCGGGCCCAGAGGGCCGCCTCCCAAAGGCAGAGCTGTTGCGCTGGTCCCCGTGGGCACTTTTGGACAATTTAGAACAGGGGTCGCCCAGTCTGGCCTGCCCCTGATTTTGTGTGGCCTGTGAGCTAAGAGTCATTTTCACATTTTTAAATGGTTGGAAATAAGAGGAATGGTATGTTGTGACGTGAACATGCTGTGGAGCTCTCAGTGCCCATCAGGAGCGGTTTGGGGGCGCCAATTCCCTCGGGAGTGCCGGGCCAAGCCCAAAGGCTCGCGTGTGAGCGGGTGGCAGGGGCGCTCGCTGGGCCCCGGGCAGAGCTTTGTGGGGGACGGGGGCCCGGCTGGCGCCCCAAAAGCAGCGTCCCCTGCCATCTGCGCCTCCCCAAAGGCTGGCAAATGGCAACCATCTGCTGCCGCCGGGAGCTCAGGAGAAAGGGATGCGCCGTGCGGCACCGGCGGAGGGAGAGACCGGCCGCGGGAAGACGCGATGTCCTCCAAGATTCAAAAGCGCGCAGTTCTGCACACGCTCACGACTGTGTTTTCTGAGACGTTACCCGTGTTCGCTAAGCCGTACAACGACTTCTTCTGCTCCTCCTCCAGCTGCTGCTTGCTCTGTCTGCACACAAAGCATCTGAAAGACAAACAAGGACCGACCCTCCCTGCGGTGCGCAGACGGGACCGCGGGCCGCAGACGCTCGGCGCGGACATGGGACAGCCGTAATTCCCACGTGACAGCCGTAATTCCCACGTGACAGCCGTAATTCCCACGTGACAGCAAGCTCGGTTTCAGAGGCTTAGCTAACAATACTTCCTTTGCACACCAACTTGAATTTTCCAAATTAGATCTTGTAACAACTACACGTCCGCGAGCCCTGCTCTCACACGTGTAAGCATCACAAGAACAGAGAGTCCTACGAGGCCGTGAAGCCAGGTCGGCTTGGCCCCCCAGTGAGCGGCGCTCCGGCAGGAGTCAAGGCCAAGAAGGGTACAAAATCCACAGGCCAGGTGATGCCGTGGCTCTGTTCTAGTCGCTGACAAGCAAGTAGACGGCTGGGAGCGTCCTGCGGCCCTGGGCACCACTGGACTCCCTCACTGTCCCCACGCCGGTGGGATTAGCTCAGCAGCTCAGCTTAGCAACAGACGGTAAAACAGCTCCTGCCTCTAACCGTTCCGATTTATGGTCTCAAATCCTTCACTTCCACGAAGGACACACGCGGGTGCACGTGACCCCGCACCGAGCTAGGCCATCGCTGGGCACACGAGAACCACGTTCTCCCATCAACACCGAAGATGCCCCGCGTCCGCGGCAGGAGCACAGCCCCAAAGAGCCCGGCTTTCGTTCACGGCACGTGCAGCAGACACGCGGGCGAATGCGCTTACCCTGCCCGGCAGGGCTTCCTGTCCCTCGGAGACCCCACCGTGTGCCGTGCTGGCAGGAAAGACACCGTCCCCTCGTAGCAGTGATGGGAGAGAAAGGTCTTCAAACCTGAGAGCAGAGCGCAAAGCCATCAGCCCAGCGGCACCTCCCGGCCACGGGACCCCAGGACACGCCAGCAGCGTGTTCCGAGACCCGGGTGACGGGAGCGTTACTGTGAGTTACCTGAGAAGTCATATCTGATGAGACCCATCCACCGCTTCTTCTCGCTGTCCTTGATGATGTCCCCGTAGAAGCCGTACCCCAGCAGGGACACGGAGTATCGCAGCAGCGTGCTGTTGTGATGCACGGAGGACACGTCCATGGGCAACGAGTCCCCTGCGGAGAGAAGCGGTCCCCTGTCCACTCCCACGCCGCACCTCCTCCCGCCCCGACGGGGCCTGGTGGGCACGTGCCGACGCAGATGATTAACACGGGAGGGAGGCAGGGGGCTGTGCCCCGGGGGGCCGGGTGCCTGCTCTTCATTCAAATGACAGAATTTCACGAACATTCCCAAAACAGGTTTGGAAAGCTGCCCTGTCGGGACGGAACACCCATGGCCCCACGGAGCGCGTGCCGTGCCGCGAAAGGAAGAAAAGGCACCCACGTTCTAAAACTGGCAATCATCACTGCGTGACTCATCAGCAGCACTTGAATGGCTCCGGTCACAAGGAAGAAGCACTGTCGCTGGGGACAAGGAGGGAGCCACGTGCTTATGGAGCAGGGGCCGTGGCCATTCCTGACTTTCTGAGCCAGCAACCAGCAACACGGGTGGCCTCCCGCCCTTGGGGCTGAGTGCGCAGGTGCCCGGTAAATGCCACATGGAAGGGGTGTCGCAGGTGCCATGGATTCGGGCCTGGGCAAGCCTGTCCTGATGGGGACGGGGGCCGTGCCCTGGACACAGCTCCAGAGAACAGAGCACCGGGTGAGCGTGGGGCATGTTGGGGCCAGAGGGTCGGCCTGGCCCGCACACGGGGACACTGAGGCAGCTGGTCAGGTCACAGGGTGTGGCTGCAGAGCGGGGGCCCCAGACGGCGCTGAGCAGGGTCTGTGCTGATGAAGCATCCCCCCCAACGGCCACGGGAAGACAGGACGAGATGGGAGGTGGCAAGGAACCAGGGCCCAGGGAGCCCTGCTGGCGGGAGGCCCAGGGAGGTCCGCACTGCTCACACGGCCAGTGCCACGGACAGGGACCTACCCACGATGATGTGCAGAGCGGACGTCTCTGCATCGTTTGTGCCCACCGTCGAAAAACACACACAGTCTGTTGACCCTAAAGAAGGAAAAAGAAAAGGAAGGTCTTGGGTATCATTATAATAATTTAAAATTGCAGCAGGTTTCCAACGGAGTGATCCGCTCTTCCTTTTGGCCCTGGAGTAAGGACACAAGGACTAAACACGAGCCAAACAAAGTGAATACTGGACAAATGGAGATTAATTCATCAGAAATGCGGAGACTGCCTGCAGTAATCCCACTAGTTCCTCACTGAGCTTTCAGACACTGCTGCCCCGTCTTGGGGAGCGGAGCCCGAGACGTGTGGGCAGTGGCGGCGGCCAGGGCGTCGCTACGCACTCTGCATGGCGTCTACGTCCCCCCTTCACACACCAGCGGCCACAGGACCCACGGGCATATGCAGAGTCATCACCAGCAGGAATGTGGGTGCAGAACAAGAACAACCCGTGGACGTCCCAGAAAAAGCCCCGTGGAAGCCTGCGCCCCGACACCAGCGGCCCTGTGGAAGCCCGTGGAAGCCCGTGCCCCAACACCGGTGGCCCCGTGGAAGCCTGTGCCCTGACACCGGCGGCCCTGGTCCACAGCCTGCACCCCGACACCGGCGGCCTGATTCACAGAATGCTCTGGGGCCCATCGCTGCTCGAAGATGCATGGCAGCTGCCACCTAACAGACTGGAGGGGACCCCATGGAGCTCAGCGAGCACACGCCTCCCACTGACATGCTCGTGCATAGACTGAGGGTAACCTCAGGGCACCCACCTGGTGCCAGGATCCCCGGGGCATGGTGATGATGCTACGGACCATCCCTACGTCTGTCCTGCTTTTAACTGGGGCATAATCCAGGTGACTGTTGTCAGCCTGAGTGAGCAGAGAATCTCCTGGGCTCTTATTTATCACAGGTTCCTGAACCCCAACTCCCCCAAGATTCTGATTCAACAGGTCTGGGATGGGGCTGAGCAATCTGAATTTTAACACGTCTGCTAACTGGGTGAAAAAGCCTACCGTGGATTTCCCAAGAGTAAAGTGCGTGACAGGATCTAGAATTGCACCGTATTGCCACAGACCCGGACCCATCAGGGAATAACCGGAGTTAACAGGCACAGAAGCCTGCCCGTCGGCAGGGCCCAGATGCCCCGCCCTCGGGCCCCCGAACAATCAACTGATTCTCCCGTCATAAGTGATGTTCCCTGAAGCCGGAAAACTCGTGGTTCCCCACAGACGTGCTGGATTGCAAGCACCCTGTGTTATGTCTCAGGGTAACAGAACCCGGTCCAGTTTGTCATCAGAGTGGAGGCTCTTATTTCATCCAAGTGCCCGTATGGCTTCTGATTGCTGGTAAGTTACATAAACACACACATATGTTTTTAATATGGTTTTTTTTTCTTTTTTTGTTAATCTTAACCTGAAGACTTCAACAGTATCTCATTCCAAAAATGAGCCAAAAAGTAAAAATTTTTAAATAAACATTTAAGACCATAGGAGTAGTCTTAAAAGATTAAAAATTCACAGCAACAGCATCTAAGAACCCGTGTGGTTTCAGAGTCTCCCACACCCTCATCTTTGTAACGACGGGTACCTGGATAACCAGCATGAACAGTTCTAAGAGAACAAACTCTGAAAGAGCTATTTAATGACTCTGAACTATGCCCTCAGGTAGTTCTTCCCATCGTCAGAACCTTCCGGAATGTCCGCGGAGCCCACTTGCTCCCCTTGCATGCCCCAAGCCTTGTTTACTTTGCCGGCACGCCGGCCCGGACTCCCAGACTCGCCTGCATTCACAGAGACGGGACTGCACCCCCAGCAGGCACTCCGCAAGGACGCCCAATAAGCACGAAGCAGCGAGCGTCTGGTCCCTAATCCCACCCCACGGTCTAGACGCCCGAGGCCTCGCCGGGCCGGACACCACACGACGGGAGCGGAGTCTCGGCAGGGAACTCCCCGGGGCTCAGGTGTGCGCGTGCTGGGGCGCCCGGCAGAGCCACGGCAAAGTGGGCTGTGGTGATGACCCATCTCCGGGGTGGCACCGCGCCGTTCCCAAGCTGCTGGAGGCGTCTCATCCACGGAGGTGTGGACGGGACAGGGCGAGGCGCCCGGCCTTCCTGGTCAGGCATCCAGGCCCTGGCCGGGCTGGGGTGTGGCCCCCGTGTACTTGCGTTCCAGGATTTCCCAGGGCCCTGCCCCTGGACAGGCAGGCGACCTGTGCTTTTGACAGGTTTCGGGGATGGTTTTGCTGAAAAGTCAGATTTTTAAAGGAGGTCATCACTCAGCTTACTCCGTCCTCAGGAGCCTCCTTGGGGCCACCGCCCTCTGCCTGCAGCTCCCCCTGCGCCCCACCTCTTGCTCCCCGCTCACGCCTCCTGGCCAGAGCCAGGCTCATCCTGCCCTGGGGCCCCTGCAAGGACCACTGCTGCCCAAAGGCAGGCCTGTCCTCACCGCACTCTGGGCCCTGGACCAGTGTCACCCCAAGTAGGCCTCCCAGAGCACCCTGTCTGCAATGGCATGCCCCTCCCCCCCCCGCACTGCTCGGCTCTCTGCGTTCTGTACCCACAGTTGGCCTCCCTGCACCCTGGGGGCCCCGCCTCACTCACTCTGGGGCCCACAGCGGGGCTGGGAAGCCTGTGTTGCGAGCGTGCGTGATCACTGACTGAACGAGTGACCTGCCCGAGCTCCAGGGAGGCTTCAGCTCTTGGCACCTGCCGTTTTGAAGAGGCCAGCCTGGCGCAGGTGGAGAGACCCGGGTGGCGGCAGACAAGTCCCCCAAACACTGTTCCACCCTTTTAACTTTGAGCGTGCTTCAACAGCTCATCCCTCGGATGTGACCTAACTCGCCGGGCATTTCCTCAGACATCTGTGTGGCCAAGGCTTTGACCAAGAGGAAGCCCCAGCTGGAAACGCAAAGTCTGGCTCAAACCAGGCGACAGGACGGGGTTCCATGACGAAGTACGCAGAGGCGCGGGGGTTCTGGTGTGCCCACGGAAACAAGGACAGAGGGCCCCCTCCTTCTGTGGCCTGGCTCCTTCCTCTAAATCCTCAAGTGGTAAGAGACCGGAATTTACAAAGCATCAGCACCGGAGCAGCGAGTTGGTCTCTGACACACTCTGTCTCGGACCATCCCAACCACCCCGAGGCTGCCACACACCGGCTAGAACCCCGCAGCCGGCTCCCCCGCAGCGCTGGCCATCTACTTCCGAGTGCTGGCCCCATGGCCCCCAAGGAGCCCCGTCTCCAGTCTCCATGAGAACTCCTGCCCCCACCCCGATGCCTCGTCTTCGTGCCCCCGGGTTACCAAGGCCAACATCACGGGGTCACCCTGCTGCCTCCTTCATCCTTATGCGTCGATCCGATGCCTGTTGGCTCTGCTGCAAAGCTGTGCCCGCGTCACAGCCGACCACACGGCCACCGGCCCGAGCACTGGCATCCTCCCCGGGGCTCGGGCACCGCCGCCCAGAACAGAGCGCAGGGGGTGGTCTTCCAGCCCATTCAGATAACACTGCCCACTGGCCTCTACGACATCCTCCCTCTCGAGCCGGGTCCTTGTGCAGGCCCCTCGGTGACTCCACTCCTGGCACACCCCTGCCAGCCGGGCCCCTTTCCTGGGCACACAGCCCTGCCCCAGCTGACGCTCGGCATACCCACGTCCGTGCACGGCCGGCCCCTCACCTGTCGCCTCTCAGGAAGGGCCCTGGGCTCCCCACAGGGAAGCCCCTCCTGGCCACTGTCCCTGAGCCCATTTCCTCCACAGCATGCCCGCCATGGAAAACCCTTCTGTGCCCACGTTTCCTGTGCGGTGGGGGCCTCCTGTGTGGGCAGAGGCCACGCCCATCTTGTTCTCTGCCGAAGCCCAGGGCCCCGAACACCCACAGCACGCACTCCGCCCGTCCCCACGACCCTGCCGACGTGTGGGGGCTGCAGCAGCTCCTACGCTGCGCTTCTGAACGTTAACAGCTTAGGGCTGTAAGCATCAGCGCTACTGTGGGCCAATGGCCATAAAAGACATCACGGAAAAGTAGTTCAGCCGGTAGAAAAATAAAATCCATGTCGTCCGGAACAGACCACATGCAAACTCAAAAGACAGAAGCCTAACTTGGGAAAGAGGCTGTGAGCTGTAACCAACCAAGAATAAATACGTCTACTGTATAAACAACGTCATTCCGTCGGGAAAAGCCACCTCCTGACCGTGGGGCGGGGCAGAGCGGTCCCTTGGGGGGCCTTGTGACTGCTCACCTCGGTCCATAAAGCAGCACCACGACAGCAACGCCCTCACAGTGGTTGTAAACGGCGTGACATGATGCGCCATGTGGGATTTCTGCCTAGCCTGTGTCACTGTCGCTCGGGGGCAGACCCGGGGTGCTGGGCAGGGGCGCCGCCTCCCTGTGGCACTGCTTGCGAAGCCTCGAACCAACAATGCACAGGCTTTACTTAGCTCAACACGGTAATTTTTCAAAGAACTAGGCACTTCCTACAGACACAAAACATGCTGAGCCAGGGGCGCCTGGGGGGGCTCAGTCCACTGGGCGTCTGACTCTCCGTTTCAGCTCAGGTTGTGATCTCAGGGCCATGGGATCAAGCCCCACGTCGGGCTCCAGTCTTGGTGAGGAGTCAGCCTGAGATTCTCTCTCCCTCTCTGCCCCTCCTCCCCCCAACCCTCAAATAAATAAGTAAATCTGAAACAAAACAAAACAAAACAACACACTGAGCCAGACCTCTCTGGGACACAGCCCAGGAGCCCACGGGGTGAACAGCCCCTGGTCCCCATCCCTCCCCATCTTATATAGGAGGGCGCCCCGCCCCAGGGCATGAGCACCCCCCCAGCTCCCATGCCCCACACCGCGGTCTGGGCTACAAGCCACTTCCAGAAAACCACCTGCTTCCCTGGCTTCCTTCCTTCTCGATCGTGCTCTGGGGTCCCCTGCCCCCCAGCCCCCCACCCCCGCCAACTGGTCAGTCCTTTGAGAGCAGACTGTCCCCCAGCCGCCGGCTTCTCAGTGCCTGTGGGAAGCGGGACAGGAACCCCTCAAACACACACCCGGGGTCCTTTACTTGCTCGTAAACTGTCTCAACCAATTCTGCACCCGTGTGGTGATAAAAATCACCATTTCAGCAACAAAATGAACCTGAAGGAGAACCAAGCTTGATGCCCCCAGGGAAGGGGGGGAGGCGGCGCCCCTACCCGCAGGGATGATGCCAATCCTGAGCGGGCTGGGCACCAGCGCTGCCCTGGGCTGGTTCTGGTCCACGCCGGCGTTCTGCTGCGTCCTTCCGATCAGGCCGTGCAAGACCTCGCTGAACATGCCGTCTCCACCGACGCAGACGATTCTGCAGGGGGACACGGGCTGTTAGGGTCCCTCTGCTACCCCCACAATCCCCCCACAATGCTGCACTCTCCCCTGGGGCCCCGCTCCTCACGGAGAAGGCCCTCCTCCTCAGTCTGCAAGCCAGGTGCTTCCCCTCAGGCCACAGCGCTAAGAAATAAGCCGACAAGACAAAAGCAGAACAGACCTCTCCCTCCACGGCCCTCCACCAGCCAGACTCTGGCAGGCAGCCCCGCGCCCTTAACCTTCACGCTGCCTGGACTCCGGGGGCTGACCCGCCCCGCCGAGCCCTCAGCTCACGCTCCCCACACTGGCTGCACCACGGTCTCCAAACCCGACTGCAGCTCCTTATCTCATGGCTTGGTAACGTCACTGTCATTTGGGTTACGAGTCCCTGCGTGTCTCCTGTAGGATTCCATCACCGGGACCAGTCAGTTCTCCCCCAGACGTCCTGGAGACCATCCCCTCTGCGTGTGTCATCTGCTGCTGTCCAGCCGGCTTTGCCTACAGCGCCTAGCCTCCTGCAGCCGTCCCGGGCCCCATCCCACCGCATCAGTACTCGCCACATGGCCTTCAGAAGGGCCCTTCCAACACACCTGATCCTCAGCACCGGTCTGTGAGCACCCCTGGGTCCTCACCACCGAGGAGGCAGCCACCCTTCCCCAGGTCTCGAGCGCTCGTTCGCCGAGCACCTGCCACGCGCTAGGCCTGTGCCCGGTGCTGGGGGAGAGCTAGGCACAGGGCCCAGGACGCTGGCGCTCCAGGGGCTGACACGCCAGCAGAGACAGACACGGCACAGACGCAGCCCCGCACGCAGCAGCCCCCCGCCCCGTGGCACACAGCCAAGCACGCACAACCGGGGCCGACCAAGAGGAGACATCAGACACACCCAAACCGAGGGGCACGACGAACACCTGGTCTATGCTCCGGAAACCTCAGCCCCCCCAAGAAAGGCTGAGGAACGGCTCCAGATCTGAGACTAGAGTGCTCACGAGAGCCCGAGGGCTAGGCAGGTCTCCTGCTGTAAAGGAAGAGGGGACAAGGCGGGGCCCGAAACGGGACAGCAAGCAGCTAAGAGCCTGGTGTCATGTGGTTTCCCGGGTCATCATGGTATTTGGTTCTGTAAGAGAATAGCCTTGTTTCTAGGAAATGTGCACTCAACTATTTAGGGACAAAGGGAATCACGTCCGTAATGGACTTTCAAATGATCCAGAGAAGATTCATAGGTAGGAAGACAGAAAAGGAAACGGTCAGTGGTTGTCTCTAAGTCGTAGAAGGGGGTGTGATGGAACTTTCTGCTGTTTCTCATTTTCTCCGATGACAATTAGGAACAAAACTAAGGACAGGGAGTGAACAACGCTAAGATGGGTAAAGCCTGATTAGCGTCCACTATGTAGGAGTCAAGATGAAAGGAACTGTACTCACCCATCGTATTTGTCTATGTTGATCTCATATAAACTCTCCTTGGCCTGGTTTGCACGTTCAGTAACTGTGGGGAAGAATAACATTACGTTGTAGAGCTTACATTCAAATCTGAGAATCCAATTTAAAATAAAAAGCAAGCAAACACTTCCTTTCACATGAGGTCCTATAACATCTTCAGGAGGATTTCCTGCAAGAAGTCGCTCTTACAGAAAGGGGACACTGACCTCGGTGGAAGGTGACATGCTCAGGGTAAGATGTCACGTACTTGGCATCTAATTGCCAACACACGGTAACTTTTTGGAAAGAGATTATGTCTTCCATCTTATAGTTTCTTATTATCCCAGTTATGCTGAAAATTTTAATTAATTGAATTAAAATAAAATAAAACTTAAAAAAAATTCAACTTTAGAATATCCCAAGGTGTAAGAAAAAGAAAACGTGAGTCCACAGACTGTGTATTCAACGTAAGAAACAAAAACAGAACAGAAAAGCTACTGTGCGTGGAGTCTTGTACCCCTGACTTCCCAGCATTTATCACAGCCACTTTTTTTCAATGAAAAGTTCTCTGGAAAGACCACATTAAAGGTCCACGTGCTGTCCCTTCGGACTCACAGGGGCACAACTGTAGCCCCACGTTTCCTGCCAGTGGGCGCTCACGTTGTTTCAACGTTTGCTATTATAAAATGTGGCCGCGCACCTCTGTGCACATCACCCTGTGCACCTGATTGTCATCCCAGGAAAGAGTGAGAAACTGGGATACTAGGCGAACACCCCACATTTTTAAGGCTCTTTGCCCACACTGCTGGTGGCCCCTCAGGAAGTGTGTACAGACCTCAGGGCACGGGGTCCGGGGAGGAGAACAGCGTCCCCGAGCCCCGCCCGGCTTTGAGAATTCGCGCTAAAACCTTGGTGCCACAAACACGGCGCCACATTACGTTTCTTCAGGTGTCACTTATTGGTGAAATCCTTTCTAAGCCTTATAAATTGCTTGTATCTCTTCTTGCAAGAATTTTCTGTCCCTGATCTTTACCCTTTCGTCTTCTTAGTGTTTCTCTCGAGTGTTTTTTTTTTTTTTTAAGATTTTATTTATTTATTTGACAGAGAGAGACACAGCGAGAGAGGGAACCCAAGCAGGGGGAGTGGGAGGGGGAGAAGCAGGCTTCCCGCGGAGCAGGGAGCCCGATGCGGGGCTCGATCCCAGGACCCTGGGACCATGACCTGAGCCGAAGGCAGACGCTTAAGGACTGAGCCCCCCAGGCGCCCCTCGAATGCTTTTTGTTTATGCTAAGACCTGGCTAGAAAAGTATACATTCTTTATTTTGTATTGTTCTTGTTCTGGTATATAAAACAACACATTTTACTTTCTTTAAAATAACCTGTAAGAGAAAAATCTCGTCTAGCAACCACACTTGTATCATTCCCACACTTACTCCACATATTTAACGGAATTTATACCTTACCAACTATTTCGGTGGTGATGGAGGCTAAGGTAAACAATGGTGCCACTTTCCTCTCATAGATCCGCTTGCCTTGTCCTTTCCCTCCGAACGGATTGATAAACACCAGTAAATGCTTTGGTCTCGATGCTATAAAACAACGATGTGTAAATCACAGTGAATGCAACAAATATCAACAGGAAGGACTGTGTTACTGAAGAATATCTAATGACTATGGTTTGAGAACTCTGCTTAGTATTGCCTGAAAAAAGTATCTTTAAGTTAAAGAACCATGCTGAAGAGTTTCCTAATCTATGAAAAGAGAAAAGTGACAGCCTATCAGAATGGGCAGGAGCGTTGTGTATCTGCAAATCCCCAAGAATTCAGAATTCTGACCGAGATAGACACGGTCTCCTGATGAAGAGTCCTATAAGATGTGACTTCTGGAAAGTAAAGGGAGGTGAGTCTGCAGAGAACAAGAAGAAACAGATGCACAGAAGGGCCCACTAGGGGAGACAGAGAGGACGGACAGATGGACAGTGAGACACAGACAGCCCGTCAGCCCCTGGCTTCAGTCCCGTCCAGAGAGCCTCCTCACCTGGCTCACAACTATGTTTGTATAGCAACTCCCAACATCGTTGTTGGGGTCAGTTCAAATAGATTCTGACACTCAAAAACAAACTTAACCAACAAATCAATAAAAGTAGCAAGAAAGTATATACTCCAAAAAATGGAAAACCTAAGTCCACACAAAATTCTGCACACGGAAGTTCACAACAGTACTGTTCGAGACAGCCCCGAGAGAAAACGCCCTACGTGTCCATCAGCTGGCTGCTGACACACCAGATGCTGTCCAGCTACGCAATGGAATACTACTCGGCAACAAAAAAGCCCCGACTACTGGTATACTAACCAACGTGGGGCCCTGTCAATGCCATCACGTGGAGAGCCTACAGCCCTACTCGAAGGGGCCCCCGTGATGTCATTCCATCTGCGTGGTGGCTGTCTCTGCACCGACAGGAAGGAGCACGAGAAAACTCTGGGGTGATCTATGTCTCATAGGGCTTTGGGCGACGACAGCTGTGTGTCTGCATGTTCCGATACCATTGATTTAAACTCACGATCTGTCTGCTCCACCGTATGGGGATTCTAGCTCAGAACGGTACACACATGCTGATCTCTAATTCACGAGGTGCCCGCCGAAGTGTTTAAAGGGCCCCACGTCTGTCACTTACTCTGAAACTCAGCAGAGAATACAGTGAACTAACGGACAGATACACAGACGCTGGCAAAGCACAGCTTGAAATCCGTGAACCACTGCACATCCACGCGGTGGGTATGTGCCTGTTTATTATTCAATTCTTGCACTTTTTCCAGACGCTTGAAAACCTTCATAATAAAATACCAGGAGGAATGTACAGTAGAGAAAATCAACAAAGCCGAAAGTTGGTTCTTTAAGAAGACTCATAAAAATGGGGCGCCTGGGTGGCTCAGTCGGTTGAGTGTCTGACTTCGGCTCAGGTCATGATCCCAGGGTCCTGGGATCGAGCCCCACATCGGGCTCCCTGCTCAGCGGGAAGCCTGCTTCTCCCACTGCCTGCCTCTCTCTCTCTCTGACAAATAAATAAAATCTTTCAAAAAGTAAAAGTAAAAAGATTCATAAAATTGACAATTCCCTAATAAAGATGCTACAGAACTAGGGAGAAGAGACAAATTGCTAATTATCAAGAATGAGAAAGGGGACGTTACCCCAGAGTTTGCACATACTACAAGGGAAGTGAAAGGACTTCTTAATAATGAATTTATAAACTTGGATGAATGGACAAATCTTGTCAAAAAATACAACTTACCAAACCTGGCAGAAGCAATAGAAAATCTGAATAGTCTGATATTTAATGAAGAAACCGAAGTCATTAGTGAAAACCTTCTCACAAAGAAACCCCAGGCCCAGATGGTTTCACCAGTGAATGCTTCCAAGGACTCAGGGAAAACCACAGCCCCAATGTCACGTAAACACTTCCACAGAACAGAAGGAAGGAGCACTTCTCAGCTCCCTGCATGGGGCCACCAACGCTTGACAGCAAAACCAGTCAAGAGACTCACGCATGGTTGCACTTCTCCCCTGAGCCAAGGTGTAGAAATCCCGAGCAAAGTATCAGCAAGTCAACTCCAGAAACATATAAAAAGAGTTAGCAGGTCTCGTTCAAGTGGATTTCATAGGAATCCATAGGCTTTTATACAAGAGAAACCAATGTCCTTAACACAGTAACTCAAAAAGAAGGCAATCACAGAGGCACCTCCAGAGATGCAGAAAAACCATCTATCAAACTCAATCAGCCATGGTTTAAGAAAACACAAAGTCTAGACAGCTAGGAATTAGAGACGAACTTCCCTAATATGTTTTTTCCCTGACTTTTAAATTTTTATTTTTATCTTTTAAGTAATCTCTATGCCTGTCATGGGGCTTGAACCCGCCACCCTAAGATTAAGAGTCAACTGCTCTGCCGACTCAGCCAACCAGATGACCCTTAATGTTTTTTTAAAAAAATCTTTTAAAAACCCAAGAAACATCATTCTTGACAGTGAAATGTTGGAAACTGCCCCGGAGAGCTGGACTGAGATGATCCTCCCCACTGGGACCCGCCCCAGGGGAGAAGCGTAAGAGAAAAGAGTAAAAAAACTAAGATGAATGGAACAGGGGTGTGCCATTATTCACAGGTGACATGATTCTGCTCAAAGCGAATCCAAAAGAATCATCAGTCCATTAAAATTAGTAAGTGAGTTTCGCGAAGTCACTGGATACAGAGGGAAATTCAATCCAAGTGCGACACAGAAGCAGGAAGTGAAGGTCAGCGTGTGCGGGGAGGGGCCGGCCCACCAGCCGGGGCGTCGAGCCCAGACCTGTGTTTGAATGAGCCTCGACCACTCACCTTACACACAAAACCAACTCCAAACGGACCTTAGGTCTAAACGTGAAAGGTAAAACAAACCCTTGAGGAGAAAATATCTTTAGGGCCCTGGACAAAGACGTCGAATAGGATCCGAAGGAACCATAGAGAAAAAAAGAGAGAAATAGGACTACATTAAAATCGAGGACGTCTGTTCATCAGCAGACACCAATAAGCGTAAAAAGGCAAACCACAGAACGAGAAGGCATCTGTCATTCATCAATCCAATGAAAGATCTAGATCCACAATACACAAAGAGTATCTACATGACATGAAGAAAAGATGGACCACCCAACAGAAAAATGGACAAAAGACTTAAACGGACTCCTTACAAAAGAGGATTTCCAAGTGGCCCATAAACATAGGAACGTATTTCTCACCTCCAGCGCCCATCAGGGAAATGCCAATTCATACCCTAGTGCAAGACTCCTGACACTCATCCAAACAGCTATAATTTTTAGGGTGTGGAAAGATGGGGGGCAACCAGGACTCTGATGTTCTGCCGGGGGGGTGTTGCTGGCACCGCAGTCTGGAAGACGGTCTGACGGTGTCTACTGCGGCCGAACACGTGCCCCCCGCGGAAATCCCTCTCCCACGTACACAGCCAAGGGAAAGGCCAGTAGTGCCCAGCACGAGGCAGGCGCCAGAATGTTCAGGACGGCATTGTCTGCCCACATCCGGGAGCTAGCCCAGTGACCTTCAGCAGTACAGTGGAGAAATCCATGGTTGCAGGTGGGGGACCGTGCCGCCAGCCGGACGAGCAGTGGACACCACACACCCCGACGTGGGTTAGCCTCGCAAACATCAACGCTGAGCCAAAAAGCCAGACACAGGGGCTTCTGCGGTATAATCTGATGTCTACGAAGCACGAGATGAAGCTGGCAGTGATCACCCCGCGGGGGAGCGGCTGCAGGGGCTCGAGGGGCCCTGGGGGGCTGGCAGGGTTCTGGTTTCGGGACCTGGATGCTGGTTACACGGGAGCGCTGGGTGGGTGAGCTCCCCAAGCCGCACGCACGGGATGTGGGCACTTCCCGGAGTCTGTGCTACTTCCGGGAGAATAAAACAGACAACACAGTTAGAGTTAAAATCACGGAGCAGCTGAACTAACAGAATCCTCGAATACCTGCAGATACAAGGGGCCTGGGGCAGCTGGTAACTGGAGGCTTTCGTACGAGTTCTGCAGAAAATAACGCCCCAGCTTTTCATGGGGGGGTGCAGGGCCAGAGCCCTTCCTCTAGGAGTCTGAACCTACAGAATCAGCCCTAATCTAGAGACGCAAAGTCTCAAGAAAGCGGGAGGATGGGGGGGGGGCGGAGAACGCAGGAAAGGAGCCGGTGAGGACAAGGAGGAGGAGTCTAGAGAAACAGGACAAGCGGGACAGGGTCCTGGAGCGCAGCACGTAAGGATCCGTCGGGGGCATGCGCCGCCTCCCGCAGGATGAGACGGTCAGATGCAGGAGGCTTCTCGGGGAGGAAGTCTCTCTGAAGCTCGTATGTGGGCCACACCATCTTCAAATAAATTGTCCCTCACTTTTTTGATCCAGATGCCAAATTAACTTAAAAAGACCAAAAACCACCCTCCACCCACGCTGTTTGTATTCTGTGGTTAAAGCCAGTACCGAGTTGACCGGATTATGTATAGAGATTATAACCGAACAGCACGAAACAGGAGAGGGAGACAGACTCCCGTCACCCAGCAACGCATCGGCGTTTCAGATGTCGGGGCACACCCCAGATGTGGGAGGTGCGTCCCCACTACCTGGTTTATGCCCCGCATTCACCTGCAATGCAGGGATCACCATGCCCGCTGCCCACAAGCAGAAACCGGGGCTCAGCAGGCCAAGGCACCCACGCCCCGTCTCGCAGCCGGTCAGTGAAGGCGCCCCGGCCCTGGGAGGCCACGTGGGGGACGGCCCACGACACTAGGCTGCTCCTCTAACTGGTATTTGGTCAAGTTTTAAAAGTCACACCGAATGACCGCCACACTCGGTTACAGGAAAGCTGTGCCCAAGGTGGGGAAACAGCTTCGATGGCAGCGGCTCTGGGTTTGGGGGTACACAAGCGCACGTACTGAGCTTCCCCAGCAGCTCCTGGAGGGCGTGCAGCCACAGGTGACACAGCGGCTCCTCGGCACAGCAGAAAGTGACCTGCGCCCACTTCCAGCGGTGGCGGCGGGCTCGCTTCACACAGTGCACTGCAAGACAGAGCGTGGGCGGGTCAGGGCGCAGCCTCGCACCCCACGTGCTCGTGTGGGGCCCCGTGCCGCTCCCGCCTCCTGGCTGGTGAGCCACTTCCAAGGCATTAGGAAAAAGACCTACTTCTCAGTCCTTTTAACCCACATAAAAAAGAAAAAACAAAGAAAGTACGAAACGAGATGATCAAAACATTAACTAAAAGACGATCTTGGAAAAAATTACATAAGGCAGTTTCTTAAAAGATAGAAAAAAAAAAAAGGAGACGCTGAGCTTGTCAAACAAGTGGCAAAAATGTCACCTTTCCACTGCGTGAAATTGGTGAAGACGGGGGAGGGAGTCCGTGCCCTCACCTGTGAAAGCGAAGGGCTTTTCCATCTTCTGCCATTTTCCACTGCTGGAGCGTTTCCCATGAGTGTCTGTTTCTTCCACGGTGATAATCTCAGAAATAGGCAGAGAGCACGCATCTGTAAAGACCACATCCTCACATCAGATGAATTTCATAGAATTCACGTAAGTACAAGAAGTCCGTTCCAAAAGGCTGGGACCGTTCTGCTTTAATATTCTCATTAGACATCCAAAAGTACAAAGAAAATCATATGCAGTTTTTAAATTCAGAGATAAATACATTTGGGAAACTCAGTGTTATCAGAAGATGGGACGGTTTATCCAACAGAGTCACCAAATGTAGACTGCCAACTTTTCCAATGATCTGCTCAGCTGACTTTTCCAGGCCAGCTACTGTGCTAAATTTGGGCAAAGATGTTCAAGACACAGTGTCTGTCCTTAGTCTGGCTCAGGAATCCAAGTGGGAAGGAAGAACATGGCGAGCCGTTGGGACAAGGAGGACCCAGGACTGCGTGAGCCCCGGAGAGCCAGGGCCCCACCGAGGTGGAGGCCAGGGGTGGGTGGGAAGCCCTGGGGGTTCCCGTCAGATGTGGGAAGCCCTGTATGGGCCTGGGGGCGGACAGCGGCCGATGCCCACCGTGGGAAGCCCAGGAGGATGCCACTCCGCGGAACTGCCCGGATGGCACAGGCAAGCCAGGCACCAACAGGGCCGAGGGCCGGGAAGCGGAGACCCAGGGCAGCGAGCCCCCGTCTGCACAGGCTACGTTCTGGAAGCGTGTCCGCGAACTGCTGTTAGGATTTACGATCTATTTTTACATAGAAGAGCTTTGTAAGTTGTGGTTTGGTCCCAGGTTGGCTCTAAGACCTGCCATGGAGCTGAAGTGCTCTGCTTTAGTAACAGCTCGAAGAAACCCACTGCTGTGGCACCTCGGCAGCTTCACGTGGTCTGGAAGTCACTACCTGCGGAGGTCACGTAAGACCTGGAGGGGTGTGGGCCTCCAAGGAGCCTTGGAAGGCAGGGAGGGTGCGGTGCCCAATGGGGTCATACTGGCCAGGAGCAAGGGGCAGGGATACTTTTGCAGAGGAACCAGAAGTGGGTCTCAGAGGACAGCGTGGGCTCCAGCGCGCCGGGGCAGGGGGCAGGGGAAGGCTGGGGAGGGGTGGCTCAGGGCCCTCGGGGAAGCCGGTCACCGAGGGCTCCCTCCGGGGCGCCCTGCCTTCTCCCCCCGTAGCAGCCTCTGCTCAGGGCAGCCACGCGGGCTCCCCGCCACCAGCTCCCATCCCACAGCCTGCCCCCCCAACATCCTCAATTCGTGGGGCACCGGCCTGCCTCCTTGGAGCCCCACCGAGTCTGCACCAGCGTTTCCTGGCCCTCCGCCCCATCTCCTGGGGAAGAGCTGTCCGGTGTCTGCGTCTGGGGCACCGAGCAGGGCCGGGCTCACGGCGGGACGAGTCAGGGATCTGATTCAGGATCACACGCTCACATGGTGATCTCAGACCCCTGAGAATAAATGTCAGGATCTCCTGCACCCCGGGGCAATCAGTACACTTGGGCCTGTCTGATAAGAAACAGCCAGGAGGTTATTACAATAAGCTAAGTGCGCACAATAATTAGGAGTGATGTGCTTCTCAATATTCAAACAAAACGACGGACTGCTTTAAGACACTGCACAAGAGACGAACACAATAGTCATATTATGCTATTAAATTAGAAGTTACACATGACTCACGGGATAACCCACTTAAGAGAGCCTATAAATTAGTAATTCCTAATCTTGCTAATTTGGTTTGACAAACTCGAAGAACCGAAGGAGGATGCGGGAGATGTCAGGAGGCCCCGCGCCCTGCTCCCCGGTGCCACGCGCCCAGTGCTGTGGTCCCCAAGTCCCGCACACAGGCTCACCCGTGACACTGCACGCAGCCAGGGCCGCGTCTGAAAGCCCCACAGCCCCTGCTCACTGGGGCACCCACCGGGCGCTGGACGCCGTTCCCGCCGCAGAGGGAGTGCGTGGAGGCGATGTTGGGGTGACGGTGCGCAGGAGGGGCTGGGGGTGGGGGGGGCTCAGGGTCTGAGCGGAGACGGCACTGAGGCCAGGACAGGCTGCTCAGAAGCTGGCCTGGGAGAGAGCAGAAGCCGAGGGACAGGGGTGGAAGGATACGGGACAGAGGGACGGAGGGCTTGTGACTTGGAGGCCGGTGGAGCTCTGCTGCAGGTGGGCTCAGGGGGCTCCGGGCAGAGGGAGGCAGCGGGAGGCCTGGGCTGACGCGGGTCTGCTCCTGCGTAACAGAAATGTAGGGACAGAACGAGGGACACAGCACAAGGGAGGGGCTCGGGGACGGAGCTTCGTGTCTGCCGCCAGTCCGCCTCCCCAGCGCGTCCTCTGTCCTCTGTCCGCGGGTGAGAACAAGACAAACACGTGGAAGCGGGACGTGGTATTCCCCACGTGCAGGAAGTGGGAACTGTCTTCTCTAAAGAAGGATCCAGATGAGCAGGGAAGTAGTCCCTACCGTCTGAGGAATGTCAGGAAGAGAGGGCCGGGCCTGGCCTGGGGGCTGCCCCAGGAGCACAGGAAGCTTGGTGGACGGGGCTCGGATGGGGATGCAGGGCGGGGAAGCGGACGCGGAGGCTTCAGGGCCAGGCACTCCTTTCTTTTCTAGTTCACTGCACGTGTGCAAATCATGAGCAGAAGGCCCTATTTGTCAAAACTCTCCTCTCTAATTAGGAGGCAAAGAGCTCCACCAAGAATCTGAGGAGACGGACAGCAAGCCCCTGCAGGACACAGAACATGTTACCTGGCTTCCATCAGTCTCCTCCGAGGCCAGGGTCTGGGGGCAGCAGTGGGGACCGCCTGAGGTCCTCCAAGGGTAAAGTGCAACTGCCCTGTGCCCGCCTCCTCGTGCTGGCCTGGAGGGGCCTCCGGGAAGGACAGCGTGTTGTGCAAACACGCCAAGCACAAGCAGGAACAACAGTACATTAGTGCGTGTACAGAAAACGGAGGCGTGTCTTGCAAAGAGTTAACGGTGGAAATTTGGAGGCACTTCCATTTTCTACATGATATTAGCATTTCTCTAACATTTGCCTGCATTTTGCATGACCTCACACTGCGTGTGAGACTAGGAAGAGACGACCAGTCTTCTGGAAAAGAGCAGGCAGGGAGCTGAGAGGTCAGATGTCCTGTTGTGAGGAAAGGTTACTTCCAGACCACACTGGACCTGGCTGGTGGCCACGTCATTGGACAGGGCTCCCCAGACGTGGACGCGGGGGCCCAGGGCATGTGCTGGTCCGTCCTGCAGGCTGCCCCCCGGCCCAGCCCCGCCATCAGGGGCGCAGTCGCCCTGACCCGGGCCAGAGTCTGTGCTTTCCTTGCTGACGCACAACGCATCATTCCGGTGAAATCACCCTCGGATCTTACTCCGCATCACTGCCTTCTTGGAGCTGATCGCGGCCCCGTCTGCAGAGGAAGCAGCGGCCAAGGCTCACGGGAGTCACCTACCACGTTATAAAAGTAACAACCTGACACCTCTTTTCAAAAACCTCCTAGGGGACGCCTGGGTGGCTCAGTAGGTTGAGCGACTGCCTTCGGCTCCGGTCATGATCCTGGAGTCCCGGGATCGAGTCCCGCATCGGGCTCCCTGCTCAGCGGGGAGTCTGCTTCTCCCTCTGACCCTCTTCCCTCTCGTGCTCTCTATCTCTCATTCTCTCTCTCTCTCTCAAATAAATAAATAAATAATAAAAATCTTCAAAAACCTCCTAGTGAAGTATGCTTCTGGACTAGACAGGTTTCTCCAACGGACAGAAAGATGCTGCAAACCACAAAACTCCCTGAGACCGGGGCTTCTCACTGGAACCATGGGCACCTCTTCGTGGTGGGGCCATCCTGGCCATTGCTGGATTTGGGCAGCATCCCTGGGCTCCAGCCACGAATGCCGGGGGCACCCCCGACATTGCCGGACATTGGCCAGTGTCTCCTGGGGGCACCGTCCCCAGCAGAAAACCATTGCCCTAGGGGGTCGCTATGCTTAGCAACCTGTTCTTTACACAGAAAACACAGAAGGAAACTAAGGCCAGTCTTGGGGGCACAGGGGAAAGGTGGGTCTCCTGTATGTGTGTGTCTGTCCCCATGGGTGCCTCACACCCAGCCTTCTAAATCTAAACCTATCTTTTCTGGTTTGCTGCCCCTTTCCAGAAGCTTCCTTCCCTGCTGATCCCCAGCCTGCAGAGAGTGCTCCATCCTCGTGCTCATTTGCCCAGCTACCCAGGAGTTCTGCCTGCCTCCTTCCCTGCCTCAGGGTGGCTCCCAGCCTGACCCCCCCGCCCCCCGAGGGCACAAAGACACAAATGTGGATGTGGCATCGCTCTGTTTGAATCTTTCGCCGCTCACCACGCAGGTTAATCAACACCCAAGACTCGGGGGCTGGGGGGCTGTCCGAGCCCCTCCCACCACCCGCCTTCCTGGCAAAGCCCGCAGGCCCCAGTGCACTGGCAGCCGCCCCCCGGACCTCCCCCGGTTCTTGTCCTGGCGCCCGCGTGCTGCCCCGAAACAGCAAACACTCAGAACGACTGTCAGAATAAATAAGCACGGATGCGTCCAGCAGAACTTGGAGATTTTCATCCAGAACTCAGCCAAATCATAAAACAGCCTTGTAGGAATGTCGTGGTGTTACCGGTACGTTTGTGAAACCTCTCTCTGATACTCAGTTACCATGCTGAAATGATCTTTTTAGTGGTGATGCAAAACTTCCTGAGCAGGGAAAGGAAGTCCATCGGGGTGAGCGCCACCCCCCTAACAGGACAGCCGGGGGGCGCGACCTGACCCGGCTGCTGGGGGCCAGCCACAACCGCGTGACAGTCCTCCCGGTCCCCGCTCCGGGGCTGCAGGAAAGAGGAAGTGGGCTTGCGCCGTCTCCTCTCAGCTCAGGTAAGATCGCACGAGTCCGCAGCCACCTGGGCGCCCAGGGAGGGCCAGCTCTTCCCAATTCAGGGACGGTTCCCAGGCTGGCAGAGCCCTGCGTCCGTGGGTGGGCTTGAATGGGGTGCCATGGGGGGGGTCTCCTCACAAGATTAGAGAGAACAATGGATGCATCGTATGTCCCGAGTGCCACCTGACCCCCTCCCAGC